GGGTTATCATAAACAGAAATACAAAAACAGGCCTTTCAACGTGCTTTTACTCATTTGCTTATGGGGCTTCACCTTTTGCACTCTCTTTTTGGGATCCGGACTGCTGAGATTCTGCTGACTGACCGGCGGCAGTTGATTGACTTTCGGCTGGCGATCAGTCGCAGTGCCCACGACGTTGTGGGCGTTCGATTGAATGCGGTGTCCCGCTGTGTTTCGCCAACATCGTTAGTTGCCGATAGTAAAACATTGGCAATTGAATGAAAATTTTCAGAAATAAGAACATTCTGATAGTAAGGAAAGCACGGAACGTGTGCAACACGTTGCGCATTTTCGGCCAAGTGGAGAAACGCAAATTACACTTCTGACTAGTTGAACTACAATTAGCTTTCTTGGCCTTATGTGGGTGAGTCCAGAGTGATATTCTAAAAGACGAACTTCTGCGTTGACCTCCAACATATTGGGTGTGTATGACCCAGCAACTTGCCCTCTCGTCTGTTCATTCAATGCACCTCCTCAAGGCGCAGAACATTTGTTCTATATCTAAGTTTGGATTTTCCTTTTCTTTCCCCCTGGCACCCTTTCAATCCTCGTACATTTTTCGTCCAAAATGGGCGCCCCCTTCCCTTGGGCCCGCCCAGAGGCCCTGGAACGCAATATTATGTAATTGTCATGGATGGTTGATGACTAATCGCCAACCTCCACACGAAACGCGGCACTTATGCGCCGGCACGCTGGCCCCACCACAAACGGCCGCGAACCCATTACCAAACATTCCCATCTTCCAGAATGTTCGGCAATGCCCAAAAATGGGTAGGAGTAGAAGGTGGCACAAACCCAAGTGCTGTAAAGCACTAACCCTGTACCACTTTCCCATTTATCCAAATCCTTTGTTTTCCACAACCTGCCTCCCTAACGCCATTTCGGCGCGCCTTTTCGTCCAGGCCACCCCGCGAAAGCCACTGGGAGGGTTCTGTTCCCGCTACCTGCCGCTCACCTCGACGCCCTCCTGGGGCTCGAGGACCGATTCTTCCGTTTCTTGCGATGCTTCCGATACTCCCGTATCCGCAGATGATTTCCTTTGGCGCCCTTTGGACAGCGTGTGCGACCGACGCTTTGGTGGCCGCCTGGGAGGCTCGGGCGCCACCTCAACCGCCTCCTCCCCGTTATCAGTAACTTCGGCATTTTCGATACTTTCGATATCCTGTTCGTCTACAGTTTCCACGGTTTCTACGGCTCGCCCCTCGCCTTCCACCAGGGCGTGTCGCTGGCCCGTCTTGAGGGGTGCAAAAGCCTCCCGCTGACCCGTGGGCCAAGTGACTTCCACGTTGACAGTGCGGATCCCCGAGCCCGTGCCGAAATGGAGGTAGGGGCTGTGCGTGGAGGCGAAGCTGCTGCCCGCGGCCAGCGCCTTCTTCTGGCAGATGCGTGGCACGCTGTCGGTGCACAGGCGGACCAGGGAACCTGCGGCAGTCTTGGCCACGATTAGAAATCACGACTGGCAAATTTGTAGTCTACTCAAGAATAGAATAGAACATACAGACAAAATTATCCATTCTACATACCTATAGATTAAATTTCTGTCCTAGTTTTCTATGTTTGATTTCCATTTTGTTGCATATTTGACAGAGTTTTGAGAACACATGGCCGAAGGCACTGAGAAAGCAATGCAGCATACGGCAATGCTAGCCACCTATTAGCAGTAGTACTTGCACTAGTTGTGTTAAACTACTTATTAGTTGCCGCTGTCAGTAGTTGTTGCTGTCAGTGCTGCAGTACTTGTTACTGTAGGTAGTTGTTACTGTAACTAGTCGTTGCGATCGGCCCGTTGAGCTGAATATGGGAACTGACCAATTGGCGCCATCTGGCAACCATAAACTCACCGATGCCCTGCCGGTTGCTGACCGTCCCCTTCAGCTCCAGGCTCACGTGCATGTTGCCGGGCGCCCTCCCCCTGAAGAGGTGCAGTCGCCCCTTCTCCCTCAGCAGCCGCCGGAGGATCGGGTTCGCGGGCGTCGACGCGATGATCATGACGTCCTCGCTGCCGTCCTCGTCGAAATCAGCGGTCGCCAGACCCTGCGCCGGCGATGCATTTCAGCACGTTAAATTGAATATATAACCAATTAAGAATCACTCAATGTAATATGGTTCATTAAATTGAAAGCATTTTTGTCCGTTTCTGATATCATTCTTGTCGGTACGGTATTCATTCATGCGTCTCTATTTGAACATACGAGCAACCTACAAGCGATGTCGTTATTGACAATCACACTGTTCTGTAATATTGATTGGTGTTTTTAAACAGATATTGGCAAATCGGAAGAAGCAAATTAATTCGCGAGTACATGAACCAAAACTTGTTAATGTCAATGATAGCGACAATGCTCCTTGCTCTGCATTGACGACAGGGACAACAGGCACCAGGAAAAAAAGGGCCAAACAACTCGTGTTCAAACGTGTACAAAGTTTACGGGTTTAGGTTATTTTTGTGTTCTTAGGGTGCAGAACTTTGATGAAATATGTTGTATGTGTGCTCGCCAAAGTGTTATTTGATCCTCTTGCTAGTGAAGGACGCACCCGCAAAAAAAACGTTGTTCCGTTTAACAGCAGCCGTAACAACCCCAGCAAGACGGTTGGTTTCGAGCCACACGCCGCTTTCTGCTTCCTTGTTTGACACATCCACGCGCTTCTCTTCATCCCCCTTCGCATTGACGAAGCCAGGCAGGGCCGAGGGGTGGCGACCCACGACCGGGGACCGTAGGCTCGAGTACACGGCAAGGTTCTACAGCGGGGGAGCAGGGACAACAGGCATTCTGTAGCCTATATCCCGTCCGTTCATCAGTTCCTTGATTCAGTCCCTATTGTCTCATCTCCTCTTAATGTGGCCGACGTTAATACCGTAATGCTCAATCAGTTCTGGTTATAACAACGTCACTACTCCATTTTGACAATGGCCCTTGATTTTCTCCCTGGGTTGGGGCGCACTCACCTGTGCTGATAATTCGTGAACAAAGAATTCGGCGATTCGCCCAAAACAAGAACAACAAGCATTCGCCTTGCGCGGTGTCTCTCCGTGGCACAAGGCCCAAATATCTTGCGATACTTCTGGGGAGGCACCTGGACGTTGAAATGCGATGTAGTGTTTTGGAATCACAAAACAAACATCAGGCATTCAGTTCACGAATAATACCTTGGGGGATTCGCCTAAAACGAGAACAGAAATAGACTCACCGAGCACATGAAGTCGGACAACCCCAGATCCCCTTCCCTGTTGAAGCGCCCGTAGCCCGTATTGAGGAAAGTCGTCCCGGGATTGCGGCGCTGCAGGTGCTTCCCGTTTTCCGACGTCACGGCTGCCCCGACCGTCACCAAGTCCGGGTGCCCGTCGTTGTTCAGATCCAGGAAAGCGGAGCCCCAAGTGAACTTTTGGGCGTCGATGCCGGATTTCGCCTGGCGATCACATAGCCCTTTAGAGCATCGGCAACAGTCTGCCACAAAACCACAAGCTCAGAAGTGATGTAGCAGTACAATTAGTAGTACAGCCAGTACTACAATTATTACAACAGTTGTACTGCAATTGTAACCGCAAGTGCAGTAGTGAAGTAGCCCTGCAACTAGCAGTACAACTAGCGGTACAACCAGTAACAAAACTAGGGGTACAAACAGTAACAGAACTAGCAGTACAACCAGTCATACAAATCACAGTACGACATCTAGTGTGGCAGCACTATTGCTTGTGTGGCTGGCTCGGTGCTTTGGCGCTGGCGCTCGATGAGCAATCGCACCGCGATCGAGCGCTCTGGTGGTGCCACGTGGGTCAGTACTTCATGTCATTGACTGCTGAATGAGAGGTAAATGACAGCACAGTGGGTGAGCCTAATCTTGCCCTTCCATGTTGATGATATTTATCCATTTCCTAACTTTGATCTGATTCGGACTCGACCAAGCGCGCTCATATTTAATGGTGCGGTGGTGCCTTGGGTCCAAGTAAAGCACTCGAATCGCTACCTCAATCGATGCTGGGTCACCAAAACACCGATTCGAGTACGGATTCAAACGATTTTCGGTATGCCCAAAAGCGCTGAATAACGCTAGGGTATAACAGGCAAAAATACATCGTTTTGAAAATCGTGTAAAAATCCCGTTAATCATGCTAAACTGTGTACTAATCGTGTACTTATCGTATCAAAATGGGAGCGAAACCGTCTCGTAACGATTGAGTTAGTGCAAATGATTTTTGCACATTTTGACACGTTCTTGCGCGATTCTTGCACGGCTCGAAACCCAGTATTTTGGCCGATTTTTTACTTGTACAAGTAAATGTGATATCGAAACATCGACCGATCTGTGTTTCGATGCAAGGCGTCGCCACTCACCGATGCATTGCGGTATCCGCTTCCGGGGGCGCTGAGCAGCAGGAGGTGTTGTTGGCCCTCTGAGTGGTCTCCCGTCTGACCCACGTAAATGTCAACGCGGTCGTCGTGGTTGACGTCAGCCACCGCCACGCCCATCCACAGGCCTGGATCCAGGGGCCCAAAAATTTCGTCCGTGGCGTCCTCGAAGGACAGCGAGCCCGTCTCGACCACGAGATTTCTGTACAGTGGCGAATGTAGAGTCATAGAGTGGCAATAACGTCGATCATAAAATATTCAGCAGTGAACACGAACATACTGTGAGCATGTCTGATATCTTAAAATATGGCGGTTATGGAAGAGTGGTGAACAGAACGGTCACTGTTGTTGGTGATTCCGCCTTTCTGCTGTTGCGCAATTAGATGTACCACATTTCGAGCAAGGTGGGTGCAACACACGCATAGTGCATCAAAATGTACCATAGATCATGGAGGACAGCGCCGGGGGTGGTGAATAATGCAGAGTACTTCATTCAACCCCCGGGCGTTATCAAACATGGCTGGTGTTGCGGAGCGCAGGGGGTACACAAGATAGCCTAGCCGGGGGGGGAGGGGGCGCACTATTTACTCCAACATCACGTACAACCACAGTGCAAAAGCATTTTCACACATTCTCAAATCTCATTGCATGTGCTATCGCCCCAACGTCATCAAGTCCACTCCAACTAAACATTGCCATGACATTCCTCCTTCAATCAAACATCATGTCCTCAAGTTTCTTAACGCCCAGCTCCATACTACGTGATCTACGGTACTCTTTACATTGCTATCTTCTCCGATTTGCGTCTTTCGCTCAAAAAGGAGCTATTTGTATGTTAGATATCTATGCCCGCAAGTGCATAGTTTGCCCAAACGTGAGCAGACATTCATATCCACCTGTGAAGGCGAATCGGCCCGGGCACGCTCTCCAGGCCCTCCGTCGAGGCCACGCCCCGCGACACATTGGAACTCTTGAGCAAGTTGCAGGATCCCGTGACCAGGTCCTGGTCGCCGTCCTCGTCGATGTCCAGGAACGTGGAGCAGCACGTGCCGGGATTGTCCACGTCGACGCCGGAGTCCTCGAATTTGAAGCCTCCCTTTTCGCCACACACAGGATGTGACGTCAATTTAATCATTTGCTGTGCGAATACAAATGTGGAAATGCCAACTAATTCGGTAATTGATACGAGGACATAATAAGTATTGTGTGTGACTGACGATCAGAATGTGCATCACTTTTCAGACTGGGAAAACGAGGTGTTGCTGAAAATATTCAAAAGCATATCTTTGTCAAAATTCAGATTTTTGAGGATATGCACGTGGCATTTTGGTACAGGCGAGTGCAGTATAGCTCTGAGCTTTACACCAGTTTTCCCAAAGACCGTTATACCCGATGCAATCTGTTGCAGGGTCGCAAATCTTTACAAAGTTTATCACTCTGTCGAAGGTCACTTATTCGCGGACAATATAGTTGATGAAGTGATTGATGAGCATCAGCAGCAGTAAGGGATGAAATATCAAGGGTCAACATGACAAATATTTGATGGACATCGACGTTCATATGCAAAGCATTACATTAAATGAGTCAATATAGGTTCGCTATCGGTGGTATTTGCAGATAGACATTCTTTCGATTCAGGAGGCCACAAGGCTCAGTCCTTAGCATTTCAGCTTTGTCCCCACATTCCTTGCACGTCCCTCGCTAAAGGTTCTTCAAAAGAAACTATTTCAGGAATATTCAAAACATATATTCAGGAAACATCTGTATTTCAGGAAAATTAAAGCACATTTAAACGCCCACATTGAAAACTCCAAAAGAATGCATCTATCCTTTTATATACATCCAAACTCTACTCTTCCCTGCCAAGCGCGCCCAACCTTGTTAATGTACAGCTTGTTCGTGTACACCCCCGCGATGTCCACGTTGCTCGTCCGCGGCAGGCCCTCCGCCACGAACAGGTCCAGCAGCCCGTCTCCGTCGACGTCGGCCGCCGCAGGCGCGAACTCAACAACGACAGAATCCATGCCAGTGTCCTGATGGCCCCTGAAATTGCCGCCGCCCAAATTTTCGTAGAAAACGCCGTGGGAGCAGTTGGTGGGGTGGTCGCGACCCAGCAGGTTGACGCAGGCTGTCAGGTAGAGGTCCACGAGGCCGTCGTTGTTGAAGTCCGCTGCCAGCACGGCCGCGCGCTGGCCCAGTTTCTGGAGAGGCGCAACGTATTGTGCTCAGGAGCGCTGCTGTGTACGCTCAAGTGTGGCACGGGTGTCGGCACATTTCGCCCGCTCTGCAAATGTATCATATACTTACTATCTAGAGACAGATGCAAGTGTTCAGGCGAAGGTCAAGGAAGCCGCTACACTTGACGCCCGTGGTCAAGGCAGCCGCGTACAGAAGGGATAGGCGAGCTGTGGAGAAGAGGAGCGCCGCAAAAATCACGATAGTGCCTGATTTGCCTGTTGAGTATTACTAGTAATACTCAACATGCAAATCAGGCACGTAGTACTACGTGTTCTAATACAAGTGGTGATCGCAAGGACGGTATATTGCTCTTGGTACTGATTGTACTGCTCATAACACTTGCGATATGAAGTACTGATTGTACTTCCGCTGTACAGCGGAAACAGTACATGTACTGTTGTGCAGTTACCAGCGCCCAGCGAAACAGCGTCGTCGACCACTTGCGGGTGATGCGGGGCGACATCGTCGATCATATGACCAGACAAGGGCTGCGGCTGAGCGAATGTGACGCCAGTGTCCAGTGTGTTGAAAGACATGCGGCAACCGCCCAAAATATTCAACCCAATCAAACCGTTATACACTGAGCCAAGCGTGCTTCAGTCTAGTGCTATTTATAAATTGATTGACAGAATAGGAGATCGTCGCCGTTTATGTGCTATAAGTTTGCGTCTCAAACAGGTAAAAATGCCAAACATATACTTAGTAAGCCCTAACCCTTTGAGATCCCAACTCCCCAGCCCACAGACCCGACGCACATCGGTGCCCCGGACAAGATTCCCCACTGCGAGGGTGACCCCTCGTAATGGCGCTGGTGCGCATCGCAGCCGCCAAGGCGCCCAGCCGACCCCGCCACATTTGGCGCTCACAGCCCACCTCTGCTCAAGTGCCCACGCCGCCCCGTCAAGCCAACGCACAACGCCGCGCGATGTAGAGCTCCCTGGAAGTCTACCTGGCGCGTGCATCGACTTGGAGCCACCTCGCCAGGCCCACAGCCGTGGACGCTCGGTACGCCTCGCCGGGGGACTGCAACTCGCGTCCCATCTTCGGGTCCAACCCAACAGTGCTGTGCTGGCGAGCCGCATTGCATGGCTGGGTTGGGACCTTGCATGGGTTGCGACTTGCGCACTCCCTATCAGATGCCGCCAAGAGCGGTTACCAAGGCGGCGGCAGCGGCTCCGGGGAGCGGCGGGGGTGTCGATTGCCAATTCCGGCGCCGCGCCCCATGGGGCGCCGATTTTGGAAGGCACGCATTACAATGAATCTGCTCGCGCGAACCGTCATTGCCATGGATCCTCCCCCTTCATCCCCGTCGAGAAAGCCCGTGCCAATCTCCTCCCCCCCCTCCCGGAGGGCGGAGGCGGCAGTCCCTCAGCATCCAACAATTCATCCTCGCAGGGGATGCATCCCAATGAATCCTCCGTCGTACCGGCCCGTCCCAGTGAGTCCCCACGGAACCGATCCACATGCATCGGCGCGTCCAACCAGCCCACCACCCTCGACGATCATCGCACACCCACCCACCCACCCACGACCCGAACTGCACGCAACCCCCCCCCCACCCCATCCACTCCACTCTCCAGTTTTACCGCCACCCAGCCATCACCCCCAGCCCCAACCGCGCACAACGCGCCACCCAGCCTTCCCTCCACTTTTCAAATTTCAAATCCGGCGTTTCCGATTTCAAACTCCCTCGCTTACCGTGCCGTCCGGACCGCCCTCCACGTCTTCGTCCAGGCTCCCCGCCACCAGCTTCCCATCTCCGTCGTTCCTCACCCACTGCACATGCACGCCCTTTTCCCAATCGCCGGGCAGAGCAAAATCCAAGTCGCCGTCTCCGTCGACGTCCGCCCAGGCGCCGCCAAACGTCCACTGGGCCCCGGGAGAGGCGTGGGTCAGTGCGGGAGACTCGACAGCGCGCATCTGCGAAGTCAACGCAACGGACTGATCCACAAGCAGCAGCCCCGTGGAGAGCAGGAGGGCCGCCGCCGCGGTCATGTGGCCATGGGCCATTCGGCCGCGCTCGGCGCTCGCCCCTGAGGCCGTGGAGGGGGGGTGGGATGAAGACAGTACATGCGGGTACATGCGCTCGGGCAGCACCTGGGCTGCCCCGGATTTGTCACGCCGATCAACTCGGCCTTTGGAGCCCCCAGAAGGCGCTTGTTAAGACCCAGAGGTGTTTTCATTGTACAGGATGTGGCCCAAGGGCTGACAAATGCGCGGCTGTGGCAGGCTGGCGGATCCGGGCTTGCGATCAGCCGGGGGGATCATCGGAGTGTCGGGCGAGTCGGGCGGATTGGCATGGATCACAATCGAGCTGGGATCGGTTGTGTCGTATGGGGGCGTCGATCGTTGCGTCAGAAAATGGGGTGTCTGGGAAGCAGATCCCTTTCAACGGACGTTCGCATAGGTAGTGTCTTATTCAGGCGCACCAACTAGACGAGCCTGACTTTCGGATGGCGCGGGCGCCGCGGTGGTTTGACGGGAGACACCATACAATCAATCACGCATTGTGTCGAGAATCGAGGTGGTAAGGAGTGGCTTTGGCTCTCTGCGTCAGCGGCAAGATGTTATGCGGATCAAATCTGATGTGCCACGGTCAGGAATTCTTGACACCGGCTTCAAAGGCAGTGTCAGGGTCGATGGCTGGCTCGCCGCTGGGGAGGCTGCCGGTGGTTGCGGTCTGGGAACGAACTGGAGGCAGCCAAGCTACGAGCAGATCGCAAGCAGTGATGGCCCTTTACTGTCAGGCCATCCATTCAGCTCAACTGTGAGGATGGTGTCACCACAGCGGGAGGACGTGCCTCCCATCCACGTGGATGGAGTGCTCTATGTGATCGAACGGGGAACAACTGCGCGAGGACGGGATGTGCAGCTTGGCTGCTGGCCCCAGCCACGCTGGCTTTGCATCACGGGCAAAACACTCTCCTTGCAGAGAGATGGCGATCATTCATTGCCGCAGAGTTTGGAAGCGCCCCATGCACTGGGCACGCGCCTGCTATCATAAAGATGGGGTTGTTCTGTTCGTTTCCGTGCAGGGCGGCGTAGAAGCTTCCAAGCCAGCTTAAAGGCCCGCACCCAGACTCGCTTAACACGCATGGAAAGGTTTCATTAACGCCCAATCACAGTTAATCACAGCTTTTCACAGCCTCCCGTAATTCCGCACAATCAGTTGTGACTGCGCTCCCGAGAGACCTGCAGCGTGAGCCGACGCACGTCTGCCTGGTTTACCTTCGCCGTCATCCACCGCGCGGCCGAAGGGGAGCTTTGCATTCGGGGTAGGGCGCCGCCAAAATCAGCCAAACGCAGGTGGCGTGCCCATCGCCGCCGATCTGAGCGACGCCGGTCGTTCGCGCGACCCCTCGAAGATAGGATTGCACGCGACGTGTCGCGTGCGTATTTACAAATCTCACATAATTCGCACTGCAATGCTCAAAATTGCACTCCCTTGTCTCCAAATCTCCAGGACGGCGATTGTTTGGATACCGCATCGATCCAGCATCGACATTTCGCAGGAGAAATGGTCTTCTGTCTCACTCAAGATGGGATTGCAAGGGGAAGTTCGTAACGGAGAGCTCCTGTTCTCTCCTGGCGGTAACCTTCACCCACAAACCCCGGTTAACCCAGCTGGGTTCCGACATCACCCAGGCTGTGATTTCGATGTGATTGTCGCATTCTACCAGGGCTCCTGGTGCTCGTAGAGGGTGCCTAGGAAGTATCCTGTCCACAGGTTGGCCAAGAGGTGAGGTCCTACGGCGTCACTTTGGAAAGCTGCCGTCTGTGCCTTGTGTGGGGCGTGGCTGAGTGAGAGGATTGCTGAGGCTCCCTTGTAAGGGAGCTCCTAATTAGGAAGGGGAAGTTGGTGGGTTCTTGCAGCGGAACAAGGGGTGCATGCTTTGGCATCGTCCTAGAAACACTTTGTTAATTTTGCTCTGTGGCGTCATGCAATTGAAAACGTCGGCATGTTTGATGGCTGCCAAGGGGCGCTGTGTAGTGTTGAGGATTCTGGCCTTGAAAAAATGACAACCCACCCCCCTCTCCTCTCCATGTGGTGAATTGAGGATGAATCCTGATAATGGATAGCAGAATCCAATCATCGCGGGAGGGAAGGTCGTTTCGCCAGTGGGTGCCGCACGCGGCTGTCGTATATGCAGGAGCAGGCCACGAGCATTTGCTTGCTGTACGGCCACTCATCGGGAGCACATCGGGAACACGCCACCGCTGCCGCCCTAGCCAGGCCAAGCCAGGCTCTGGCCAGTTTGAGGGCAGGGTGTCTCGAAAAGGCACGGACCGCCGGCCGTCGGCCAGGGAGTAATCGCCAGGGGGGACGGGCACGGAGGAGCTGCGGTGGGGTGCGGCACCACATGGCGTGATCGATGCGGCCAGATGCCCATTCGCTGCCTCTACCTTCGTTTGCGCCTTGGTGGTCTCAAGCGTCGTCTTCCGCTCTTGGCCGTTCAGCGGGACGTAAACAGGCCACTTGCGCCATCACTGCCAGCGCCTCCGCCCACGAGCCCCGCAAGTCCCTGGCACCTGTAGCCCGCCACGGCGCGGCCGGCCTATCTTCGTGTCTGTGTCCTTAGATGATGAGTTCAGCTCCTCCAACGTGTTGCTTCTTGGGCACTTGGATGGCCTGCCTGAGGGCCAGCTGGCCGCTGGCCATCTCCCCACACTCCCCAACCCCGCTTAAGCCGCAAGGGCACCTGACACTGGTAGAAAACAGCATGTTTGCGATGCCAGCCACGATGCCATTTTGACACAAAATGTTGCCGTCACAGTGACTGGGATGGCACAAAACTGGCTGCGATGGCATCAGATTGTGTCAAATGGAATCGCAGCTGGCATCACAAACAGACCGCTTTCTACTGGTGTGATGGCGTGTCGCGTGGCTGCCTTACCGCCTTCTGCGTTCGTTTCTGCCATCAGGTTGATGTATCGTGCGGTTCTCTCGACCATGTCGTTCCACGCTGTCTACGCGCCGTGTTACCTAACCACAAACAGGGGTGGCCAGCTCAATGGCTGCCGCCCGCTGCCCACCCAAGCTGGTCCGCCAGGCCCACGCACATCGCCTACCGCAGTTTCGATGTCAATTTTTGCTTGCTTTTATTTCCGTATGGACCGATCGTTTGTTTCCGCTTTCCGTCTGGGCTTGCCATCCTGACTGTGGCACCAAGGGACTTGACCCCGGTGGTCTCCTGGCTGGCAATCCCTAGTTCAGGGGTGTGTGGCTTGAGCGCGTCTCCCCCTCGAATCTGCGAACTCACCAGCCCTCACAGCTCTATCCCATTCGTTGGTTCGGGATCTGTATCGATTGCCCGTCATGGCTGACAGCTTGCCACAACAATGTATGACTCACACATTTGGACATTCTTTTGAACCAGTTGGATAACGGACAAGACCATTGTAACAGAGGTAGATGTGCATCTATTGCATCGGACGTCTTCAGCTTCGCAATCGCCATGTACGGGGAGCTGCGACGGGATCACACCGTATGGGATAGATGCGATCCAGAATAAAAATGTAAGACACGCTACTGTCCTGCACATGAAGACGTCTGGTGAGGAGCCATGCAGCGTTGGGCGTGATGACGACTATCCTGAGAGCATGCAGAAATTCGTGAGGCGATGTCGCTCGAACACACCTGCATACCAACCAGCACTGACGGAGGTCAACCAGTATTTTCAGAGGCCGGCCACAGATTGTATCCCTTCCTCACAGTTTGCAAATGAGGCGATATACGGCTATAAGCTGCTATGTGACGTTTCACGCCCACGAGTATATATCCTTCTGTGTTTTCTTTGAAAATTGTCTGTGGTTTGTTGACCTGACATGCTTTCATTCAGCATAGTTACATCATGATAAGGCGACCATCAGCTGATTCGCAGCATGTCTGATGTACTGAACCTGGTGCTGTAAGAATACTGAATTTGTTACCAATTGCAAAACGCCAAACGTTACGGTGCAGCCAAGACCACAGCAGTATCGTCTTCAGCTTGTTGTGAGTGGATGCTCTTTGGCAAACATCTGTCTTCCACGCGCAATAAAATTTGGTAGCTGTGAGGGGGTTTTCGTGCTCCTCAGCCATTGGCTTACCTGCATCAAAGAAATAGTCAGTATTGTATGTTATGCAATTGAACTCAATACTTGGTTCAGTGGCCGTTTGGATACGGTTGCTTAATTCAGTTGAATTGTGTGCAAAGAGCAACTGGCACAGACAGAGAAGCTGCAGGACCAGAGATTTCCTCACCAGTCATGGGGATACACGGAAGCACCAGATGGTCCACAACCACCATATGTTGACGATAAGGTATCGATGAATCTTTCTGGAAATTTTTATACAACGTGGCCAGGCGACAAACAAAACTATTAAGCAAACAAGTAAATAGACAAATAATGTATGTTCATCAACTAACAATTGGCGCATTAAGCAAGTAAATAAAACATGTATATTTCATTTTTTATTTGGGTGACAGATCGGGTGGGTTGGTGAGTGCGGAGGACAGGCCAGGCTTGGTAGTTACGCTGTGAAAATTGATCCCGTTTGCGCTTTCACGCTCGAAATTAGTTGTTGAGTTTTACGCATAAACAGGCGTATAATTACGCAATTTAAACGTAAAAAGAGCCCCGTGTACAGAGACCGTGCGCACAGACTTGGGGAGCCCAGAGAGTGGCGGCCAGACGCACCGGAGTGGGCAGAAAACAACTTTTGTTCAACGACGTCCTTTTCTTTGCCGGGAGCGAGGTGGGCGCTGTGTTTCCGGTGCCCGAGAGGTCGGAGGGCTGACCATTGTACGCGACTTCATCATGTGAACCAGGTGTCGCAAGGAGCCGTAAACTACGTAATACAGCTTTAAAATAGCTCCTTCTCTGTGTTTGAGATGCTATGCATAAGACCTTAAAAGTAAACGCAAAAACAACCATGGGCCAGACATGACTAAATGCCGAGATTTGTGGCCATGCAGTGGCAAGATGCAGTAAAGTACTGCGTTGGCACTGTCGAATCCGCGGTCTTGAATTTTCGGGTGTTTGGCGGCCGCAGAGCAATGTTTACGCCATGACTTACATACGGGAATAACCGTGCCGGT